CCATGCTACCCAAAGAAAGTATGAGAGACGATGTATTACTAGGCTGCGGAAGCGTGGATAGAAGCGGTCGAGATGCCGCGGTTGGGTTCAAAACACGGACTTTCCAGTCAGTAAATTTTCGCCCTAACCAATGAAAGCTATAAGTTCCCCTCTTGTAATGGCTTCGGTTCATCAGTCCTAGTTCAGGTCGGGTTCGCCAATTCACTGAACGCCAGAGTCAAGTCATTTCATTGGTTCAACTAAAGCTCACCAACCTTCGGACTCACCATAAGAGATACACTTTCCTACCCGTTATTTTCATATACTTTCAGATAGTAAGTAATTTGTCTTTGACTGCTTTTGGCGTCCGATGCCAATGGAAGAGCTTGAAGTGCCTTCAACACCAGACCGTAGCCTCACCATTAGTACGTAACCCCAGATGTGACTAGAATGGCCTTATGGATTTCACGAGTTTGAGTAACCGGGGGGAAGCAGTTCCACCCACCTTACAGTGACCCTACGTGCTTTGTCATCCAGAGTTGCTGAGTTGGGATGGTGGTCTATCACTGATCGAACCAAAATGAACATACAAACTACAACGTCTCGCCGCTCCAGCCAGTCTCATGACATCTCAATCTCTCCATGCAGCACTTATGTTGCGAACTGTAACAAAGTTTTATCCTTTTTTCACAAAGGAAACTACTCACAATGTTGCTGAAAACTATTCGACAGCCCATGACCGGTTTCGCTCTTCTTGGGGCTCATCCAGACTGTCTGAGTTTTCTATCCAGACTGTCTGAGTTTCTATCCAGACTGTCTGAGTGAATGTCTGGGGGTGTAGGCACCTCGGAATGATTGTGTTAAGCTAGCACTAAGTCCCTCCCCCATCCACCTTTATTCTTTTCTTTACAATAAGGCTTTTAAATAGATCATGGTTGTACGGCAGTGAAGCATCAGTGTTGAACACTGATGTCATGCTGTCGATGATGATGATGATGATGATGATGATGATGATGATGATGATGATCAGGCAGGTGCAGTTCCCGAGTACTTTCCTTTATAAAAACATACTGCGATATCTCGAATATCGTGCCAACTGAAACATGATGCGGTCTGTGCGCAGCACTTTTAGTTGTAGAATATCATAAAAGAGGGATTCAGTTGAGTCTTTCGTGAAAACCAAATTGGTTTGCAAATGAGTGTTTTTCTCGGAAGTTTTACACTCTTCTACTTTTCCAGCCCTCCCAAATCGCCTTGCCACGTGTTGCTACGTGTGGTTTGCAAGAAAAGAAGCAAAATGTGCAGGCGACAGCGGATTCATCCGGCTTCAATAACGCGTAATGACAACTTTGCTGCACGCGAATCCTACAGAGCTGTAACTGAGTGGACCAAAGGTCAGTTCACTAGACGAAAGACAGGTCAACTGTCGGATGTGCGAAATACAGCGCTAACATTCTGGGGTCTTCCTCTCCATTTCTTTCTTCCTCTCCCTCTCTTCTTCCTGTTATTTCTCACAGATTTCATTCTCATAGCATTCCAAGATTGCTCCTAACAGAAGAACTTGAAATTTCCGCCAACAGTTTTGCGAACGATCCCTGCTTTACACTTACAAAATTCAAGCCTTTCCTCTATCTTCAATCGACGGGTGGAACTTTCACGACCCTCAGTTGGAACTCGACACCTTCAAATCATCTGATCTTGATGATACCCTTCGAGTGAGCCAGGAAACTGTGCTCCAGAACTTGTTCAGGTCATTCAGCAACTTTTACATGCTGTGGTTTGCTGCGGCGTCTTCCTACATGATCCCACTCACTACTGTCCGTTTTCCATTACCCTGATTGTAACCAAACTTCCGTTGTCCATTTTTCCAAATGACTGCTGTACGATCTTGAGCACGTCGTCTTGAGTGATCATCAGTAGGATTTTAGACGCCACCTCTCAAATGACAACATATTAGCCCCTTTATTTCACCCATAGCTCTCCATCGTTAACTAGTCTGAGGAAACAGAACTGGCTTGTCCTGATACTTCGAAAGCATTCGATCATTCCCGGCACGTGGAATTCCCCCCTGAGCTTCCGATGAGGCTTCAGAGTCCCAACTGAGCACATAGCATGAACGTTTCCTGAGCGCTCACTCTATTCAACTGTGACTTGTCGACGTTGACACTAAGGACACTAGCGCAGAAAATTCACATAGACCTGTCGCCCATTCACTCCTTCCCTTCTTTAAGTCGGTGAATTACCGCCAGCCGTTTCTTCCTATGTCCACGTCTTCTCCATCACTCTTTGTCCTATGGGTCCCAGTAGGTTGTCTTTGGGTGCGTTACTTCTAGATCACCCAGGTCGAAGAGAGGACCCCCCACGGTAACCGAAACCTGTGGCTAAAAAGCCTTATCCGGAGGGCAGCGTAATAACTCGAGAACTAAAGAATCCGTATTGTGATGTAAGGAGCACGTGTTCGCAATGCACACGCCTTTTATATGAGACCAGACATTCTGTGAGCACAAGATCCTGTTGTTCCCTAAAGTTGCCGGTGATCTTCAGAGGTTCGGTCGGCATCACTATCCATAGATTACTGGAATCAGGGTTCGGCCCACTTCTGCAGACGGACAAACAGTGGTCTGCTGAACACGGGCAAAGCGTTGAACAAGTTAACTTGCTGAGAACATGGGTTGGACTCTTTCAGTAGAGGCTAAATTGAGGGCACGTCCCAAGCCTTCCATACTGAGCCATTGTTATTTCAGATCCAAAAGCCTGGTTGGCAAATAATTTTCTCAACCTATTAAAGCATGACCGCGAAGGTTTCATTTCCCGGAATAAGCGTACTTATGTGTGTCTGGCAAAATCACAGGATCACAACGTAATTGTGTTGATTGAAGCATGGTACCGAGCACTGCTCAGGCAAATGTTACACGTTGCCAACTACATACAAAAACAACACAGAAAGCCTACATCAAGAACACAGCACAAACACAACGACAAAGCGATAAACGAACAGGCCCACCTGGATTCTAGCTAGTTTAAAATGAAAGAGAGATTTCGATCAGACAAAATAAACGGATGTGAGAGAATGGAAAACAGTTGCCTTCAGGTGAACTAAATTCCGAGTGCCAAGCGAAACGATCAATAAAACATGCCCTGTCAAAAGTAATGCTTGAAAAAAAGGTTGTACAATTTTAAATAGAGAGAACTTAGTCAAAACTGGCTTGCGACACTAGCTTGTGTTTTTCTTTCCGAAACATATTCATGGGGGAAGTCGGGGATGTCAGTATGTACATCGTTCCGCATAAAACAGTTGAAAGTTGGGCTTACCTGCCACTTCTATCCACTCTTTATAGCCCAGGTAATCTTGCTGTTCCCGCTTCGCCTGTCGTTCCTTGCGAAACAACAGGGTTCGGTCAATCTTCTCTTTTTCTTTGCTAAACTCTCTGTCATATGAACACATGGGGAATGTAAAATGCGTGAAGTATGGACGGGAATAGGAGAAACCAAACAGGATGTGGATCATGAGTATGAAGCAGACAATAATCGGCAGATGAAGACCGAGATTGTCAATTTCTCCTTCAACATATCTCTACAGATGTTCTTTGTTATATCCTCAAAGTAAGAATGCACTTGTGGTAACAAGATCTACAACGATACGACGAGTCAACTGGGGGCTCACTCACAGAGCTAAGTGTAACATCTGACGAATGATTGCTTTGCAGCGATTGGCTGACTGTCGGGCACGTGACACATCGTCTAACAGCCACAATCGCGAGTGTTGGTTTCACGCAATCCCAATGGAGGGCAGACACGGGCATGTCACGTGCACGTATGTGACGAAGTCATCGCTGATCGAATGCTCAACACTTGCTCATGCGATATTTATGCCGAGAAAAGTCCCTTCGAACACGGTTTTCCTTTTTTACCCCCCAAAAATAGGATACCCATACTTACCCGCTCAACACACCCAGAACCAGATTCATGACAAAGAAGGATCCGAGGAGAATTAACGTGACAAGGTAGATCCAGGGCCACCAATGTCCAACAGCGTCCGTTACCTGCAACGGGAATGAAGCAGAAAGTGGAAACCAATCACCACCATAAAACAATCAAGTCACAGTGTTAGAAGCCATTGAGAAAACTTGAAAATGGATCGGTCCAATCGGTGAATGGAGCCGACAGGATTCTTGTAGCAGTGTCAATATTTTGTAGACCTAAGTCAGCATGAAAACATGATCCCCCATAGAAGCCGAGACGGCTCTTCTCAGAAAGACTCAAAATGCTGAAGGCTTTCTCGTTCGTATGAGCTATCTGTACTTTTCAGAATCCTTTCGAAAGTTCTGGAGTTCCGGTCAGATACAATGGGTATTATTCGTAATGTTACTAAAACAACCAGTGCCTAATGAGCCCCAAACCCACATGATAAAACAGGACCACATCCTATAGTTTGTAATGCACTACTCATAAGGTAGCTAAAAACTCATCGACAGCCCACGACCGGTTTCGCCCTTCTTGGGGATCATCAGGTAGGCGCAGTCCCCGAGTTTCCGTCAACCTTATGTTCTACTTGAAACCCAATTGCACGAAACTAGCGAATATACGCTCAGTTGCAAACTAATTTGATTTTTCGAGAGACCATTCTGGAACCCAGCTGAATCTCTCGGTTTTGATGTTTCCAGGCACCAGCAAGGGCGAAATCGGTCGTGGGCTATCGAGGAGTTTTCAGCAACCTTATGAGTAGTGCATTACAAAATATATATGTATCGCCATATCTCGAATATCGTAGCGACTGAAACATGAGGCGCCTGGTGCAGCACATACGGTTGCCTGGAAACATCACAAACGAAAGATTCAGCTGGGTTCCGGGTGAGTTTCTCGAAAAACCAAATTAGCTTGCGAATGAGTGTATTTCTCGAGAACCACATCCTGTTCAAACAAAAAAAAACAAGATTTTCACGTAGTGACTGTCCTACAATTATCACAGCACTGAACGTATATTTGACGAGTCTTGAGAAATTTCTGGAATGAGTGCAACCGAGCCATTCTTTGATAAGGATACTTTAGACGAATTGAATTGATCATCCGTTGCCCATTCGAATATTTACAGTCAGAGTACCATTCGGTTTAGGCAATAATCGTACTGGCGAATGCACTCTACTCTGCTCTACACTACACATAATGACTGGCTGTGATGATTGTCTGCTCAAAGAATATGGTTAACCCCTAAAATAGATAGCTTCAGGCAACAAAGTCCTGAAGTACGGACTATTTCATACAGGTATGGTCGGACCTTGGGCTGATTCATGAGCTTCATAGACGTGTGAGTCAAAGGCAACGGTCCAGATCTGTAAACCAAAAGGCCGCGTGTCTCATCCCCTCTACCCACATATCTGATATGCTCCCATAAGAGCTAAACGGCTTGTGTGGTGGGTTCGTTCGGAATAGAACAACAGCTTAAATGTCAAACATCTGACCAACTGCGATTGCCCAGACACAAAAAAAATGGAAGTGTCGGCTGTGTAATAGGACATTCCCTATGACGTTTACATGTCACAAGTGTGTAAAGAGCATGTCAGCTTGTCTTACATGCTTACCATGATGTTCTTCCATCTTTGTTTATCAACTGAAAATAAATCTGCCCGAGAATTGAGGTTAGACAGTACAATCCCCCATCCAAGTTGTCCTATTCCCGGTTGCACAGAAATGCCAAATGCACGTACACTGTGTTTCGGCCGTCGCGCAACCTCGTAAAATAAGCTTAGGCACACTGCTTTGTCGCCAGAATGCCATTACTCACAGGCATAGGGAAAAAATTTGAAAGAAAGCGTCGCGATGATGAAAAACGAATCGGCGGTTTCTAGGATTTGATGCTTCCACCGGAGCTCCAGTCACTTTAAGAACTGTAATGTTCCCTAACACTATTTTATTGAAATAAATATCACGATGCTAGACGTCCTTGCTCACGTTTAGACAGGGATATGAGGCGCGATCCGAGAAGCGGTATGTAACAAGCCATGTTTCATACTTACAGAAATGTAGGGCTACCCTTTCAACCCTTTCATCGTATGATCACTACCCTATCAAACATCAACGAAGGAAAGAACGTAAGTTTGTGTAGTTTTTTCCTAAATAAACGTTTCCGAGGTAGTGCAGATCAATCAAAACCTCTGAAAAGATTACATTCAGGTGCACTTTCATACAATGTGACACACTGTACACCGGTCACTTTAGCAGTGATTGCAATCCATTTACTGACCTACAACGTAGTTTTGGCTGAAAGGCTGAAAGCTGAAAGGCTAAAACAATGACTGAAGCAAAATATATCCATAAATGAGAAAAGACGTGATTAATGAACTATCCACAAGCATTTAATTCAGGTCACCAAGAGGAGGCGATCGGAATAGGCTGTCTTGTGTTTGTGTTCGGCAGCGAATGCAAATGTGTGGTGATGAGGTTTACCATGGTAGGTTCACCCCGGGAACAAACTGTTTGTGTTGGTACCGGATGGCATCCACCGCAACTCAGCGGCGTTGTACCGAGCCTGTTTGGTTGGCAGGCGCCTTTTAGGTAATGCGGAAAACCCGAGACGGGAAACATGCTATGCGTTCTGTCCACTAACTGCTGCACGGTTGGGCCGGCTGTTGTACTTCATTGTTAATACCCCATTAAGGATTATGGTACCTTATTCTCTGACACAGTTACCCAGTCGATTGTACAACATAATCTGCTTCATGGTAACGATGAAAGAGGTACGTTAACATATTTTAGGTCCTTTACCGAATCAGTAAATCAGAACGCATTCTTGTGGGCATTAGCGTCGTGGCTGAAGGATTTCGGTGAACCATTACGTGGTTTTGTGATATGGCGTATTGTGAATATCTGCAATCAGTTTCAGTAGGCATCTGCGTTTATAAACTCACGGTAAATCACATAGGCGTGGCGTTATTAAACTCTTTCGACGCGTTGAGTGTAACCAATTGATCTGTTATTTGCTGTATGACTGAACTTGGTCAGAATATCCACAATCTTTCATAGATAATCAGTTTTACTCATCGAAACTATTGGGCTACGCTTGTCGGGACAGCTGATCATGGTGTAACGGTGGATACTACTGATGGGATATGCGGGTAGTATGTTTTCTCGTAGATCCGCTTCGCGTCTTTTGAAAAGTGAGTAACCAGCGCTACTCGGGAGCTCTGAATTGACGTTATCCACAGGGTTCGCAAAATTCTCCGACAACCCACTACAGTGCGGTGCTTGTGCAAACCATCACCTCTCCGCCTCACAACAAAGCACTATAATTGCCAAGTTAGGCGGACAACGCGACCATCAACTAAACAACGTGAGCTACAAACATTCTCTCCTAAAGGTAGACGTGGTACGCAAGTCTCACCGATCTTTCTCACCAAGTTATAACAGATAGTACTTACCATAATTCCACTGTACTGGGGACGACGAAACAGCTCTGGCCATCTACTTTTCGTTATGAGTCGGCCTGATACACTTTTGTGCATACACAAGAAAAAACAGTTGATATAGAGTTTACACATTAATCGCGTTCGGATGTGACACACTACTCATGAAGTTGCTGAAAACCCCTCGGCAGCCGTCGATCGGTTCCACTGTTGTTAGGTCAAATCTGGTACACGCAGTCCCGACAAGTTATAACAGATAGTACTTACCATAATTCCACTGTACTGGGGACGACGAAACAGCTCTGGCCATCTACTTTTCGTTATGAGTCGGCCTGATACACTTTTGTGCATACACAAGAAAAAACAGTTGATATAGAGTTTACACAATAATCGCGTTCGGATGTGACACACTACTCATGAAGTTGCTGAAAACCCCTCGGCAGCCGTCGATCGGTTCCACTGTTGTTAGGTCAAATCTGGTACACGCAGTCCCGAAGTTCCCGTTAACTTTCTGTTCTACTTGAACCCAGGTTGGCAGACAGATTCAGCTGGAGTCAGCTGGGTATCCGGTCAAAACCAAATTCACGTGCAAATGGGAGTACTGGTCGTACTCCTTAGCTTGTTTATCCAGCCTGTCAAAGTGGTGAACGAAATGGTCACGGTTGCCACAAACTAGCAGTAAGAGTATGGACCGGTGGAAAGTGTTCCATCCACAAGTGCAAAATAATTTGACGGATCAGATATGCCCCTCCGTTAAAGATCTATACGCAAAACTTCAGTAGTATCTGTCTGATGAAGTCAAGAAGAGCGAAGCCAAGGGTGCGGTGTTTCTGGGTTTTTGGCGCCATTGTTAATAAAAGATTTGCCAGGTCTGCCTTCCAAGCAGAACTCGAAGACGTAAGGCACAGGGGAAAATACAAACAGACTCATCATGCACCACTGCGTGGACAAGGAATTCAACGAACTCGTCCAAGTTTCACCGCCTACTGTCATCAGCCTACTAGTAAGCGCCGAAAACATGCCTGTACCACATGCTGGTAAGTGTATACACTACTTAAAACTGCTCTTTCACACGTCATTTCTTGAAAACCGATCATTAAAGTTCTCCCTTCAGTGGTGACCTTCAGGAGTAAGATCTATGTGACTTGTGATTTTTTACATTCTGAAAAAATTACTTATGATTTGTCAGTAGCGATAGGACTTAGGGTTCAAGGCAAAATTAACTTCGCAACATGCATCCAGGATTAAAAACAAACTGTTTGGTGGTATTTTTAAGAATACACCCATCATGTTCCCAGTGCTTGACGTCACAGTTTACACACAAGCAGAATACACCAAAAACAGACTCACATAGTAACCGGTAGAAGTCCAGCCTTCCATTGTCACACATACAAACACAGTGAGCATTGAGAGTAGAAAATTGTCGAAGCTGATGATTCCCCTCTGTGGTCCAGGGTATCGATCTGGAGGATAGTCTAGGCACTGGAAATTCGGTCCTATTTCTGAGCATTTGAAACCACTGGCTGATGATTCGTTTGTGCACGGTTTCGGGTTCGCCATCATTTCGTCTGTGGAGGTGATTGGGTGGAAGGATTCAGCACTAAGGTCATTTCGCTATGCAGATGTGGGAAGGGAAACCTATACTAGAGTATTCGATACTTTAGGCAAGGAGTTGTGCCCTATTCTCTGTGACACATCGTGAACAGAAACAAGAACGAAACAAGCGGAAAGGAGAGATAACTGTGTGAGCTGTGACAAGATGAATTAAGTGGGAGAATGGATCAATGAAGGCAGTTCTGAGCGTCCGCTGTCCAAAAGTGTTGGATGACGCTAAGTTTCACCCCTTACAACATGGTAAAGTCGATTCGGATTCGTATGGAAAGCAATGTGAGCTCCCTTATGCATTTTTTATCAGTTTCTTCAGGACATCGCACACGGATGGCGGAAATGCACCGCCAGCTCAGTTATATTCTCTGCGATTCCGTCGAGCGTCACCCTATTACATGCACATATGCCCCGATTATAGCGTTTAACAGTCCAACGCATCGACTGACCTATCGTCATTCCTACAGGACTACAAACACAGGTGTCTGAGACGAAAGATTTTCTGCCATTGAAAATGAGTGTCTCAGTCTACACGGAACCTTGATGCTCCAACATCGTAGTGATGAATTTGGATTACATAAATAGGGTCTACCGAAGCTAGGCTCTGGATTGGATATCCATAAGACCTACTCTGGGTCGCAAGTCAATTCGCTCGGATTGTGTTTACAAGAAGACAGGACCAACACTTCCTGATTGATTTACAACCCATCTCCTTCGCTACAATCACCAATTATTCTCTTCGGGCAAGTCAAATACACCAAATCCCTTGGGGTCAAATTATCCTCAGATAAGTGCTGAATAAATAATAAATAATAAATAAATCATTCAGCTGCAGCACCCTTTCGGTGCCTAGCTGCATGAAGGCGGCAAGAGGACTGGAATCCTGCCAGGTTGCCCAAGCCTAGACAGGGGAAGTCGAGATGCGGAGGTTGGTTTCGACGGACCGACCTTCCGGTCGGTAAATTCGCGCTCTAAGTACTTGGGCCATCCCGCCCCGGATCCGTGCTGACATGGTCAGGTAGGAGACATATTTTTTTATCAATCCAATGACCGTGTGTTCATCATACAATTAACTGCCTATATAGTTCGAATTCAGTAAACCAAACCTCATATCTTAACCACTGCCTTGTCCATGAAAATATAATACTCGCCCATGGTTGGAAATTGATTTTAATTGAATCAGAAATTACATCGGAATGCAATTTCCCCTATTTTTTGTCAATTTTGACAAACTAACAAATCTTCTCGACTGGACACTTAAAATTTCTGACTAACCATAGGCGCAAAGTCGTATGGATTTACATAAAAACCTACAAAACTCCAAGGTAACTTGACTCATGACTCCGTCTTTGGCTTTCACAACTGAACACGCTTGAGATAGCTCGAAATTACTAACAGGAAGGTCCGTCGTTTGAATCCAACTTTGGCATCTCGATCGCTCCTGACTAGACTTGGGCAATGTGGTAGTATCTCAGCCCTCGTATTTCCTTAAGGCACCGTGGCAGCTGGGAGCTGAAAGTGTTGTATCTGAATGATTTACTCTCGTAGATGCCACTGTGTCTGGCCAGTTGAAATAAAAGTTACCCGTCATCGATGTGCATGGAACCCACCGGTAAATTGATACTAGCTTCAATACACACACTTGTTTTCATTGCTTGACAGACCCGTTAGAACGCCCGTCGGAAAATCAACCAGTGATGACCAATAAGAGAACTTTTACCTTGTCCTTGGATTGGAAGGGTACGGAGAATACGAAACAGTTGACGACTGACGTGGAAATGGTGCAAAAACAGTATGGACTAACCGTTTATTAAATAGTAGCAGTAATCGGCTTCCCGTTATCTGTTTCGCTCGGCTATGAGAGAATGTATATTACTGACCTTGACAGTATTCTCAGGTCACCTGCGGTCACACAAGGTCAAAAACCAACACGAGGCTGGTCATGAGTATAACCGAAAGACTAACCAGTTGCAACGTTCTTAGCAAACCAGTCGCCCAAAAGACGGCCCACTGGTACGTGGGAGCAAGCGAAATGCAGTCCACTGTGCTATGAAGCGGGAAGCTCCATTACCCCCATCGTGTTTGTCGGTGTTCAGAACACTGTTGAGCTGAGCCAATAAGGATCGGGCGAACTAGCTATATATCCGTCATAGATAGTAAGTCGGTGGATGAATGTTCACAAAGGAAGACCCGGCGGCACACAACAATGGAAGGCGACATTTGGCATGCTGATGAGTGCTTGATCGGAGGAATCAATGTCCATCCGACAGTCCAACCGAGGAGCTAGTCAAGCTATTCACGTGACCAAGGTCAGCACACTAAATTGCTCGGTGGACTTATGCGCATCACTTTCGTACACTGAAGTGCAGTTGGAATAGTTTTGCCTCATACGGATAGGAATCTGTAGCTGAGTGCGAAATCGCATAAGAGGCTGAGTTGATGCGATCGAGGCCTGTGGTGGACATATATTACCGTACTTCTAGCTCACTGGCGTAATACAACCACAAGAGGTTTTCAGTGTTGGATCCAACTACTAAACATGGACATGCAGCAGTTATCCTGGCATCAGTTGACAGGATTTTCTCGTTATTCCTGTTCTCAGTGTTCTTTTTGTGCAAACTGCACAAACCGACCATTGATAACCGGTTCCTTCATATAACAACCTGTGATTCGGGCACCAGTGAAACCATTATCTAGCAACAACTGATCGACTGCACTCTGTCGGATATCGAAAATCAGGTCAAAGCGTTTTTTCGCATAATTTATCCAAAAAATTCCCCAGGAACTGTCTGTGGCCATTGATGGTTTTTTGTGACAGCGTTTCGGTTTTATAGCCTCAAAATGGGTGATCTTAGAGCTGATCTGCAACTAGGCGTCGCAATATTCGGTTTGGGGCTGCATAAGGTGCCTCACTTTGCTAGACAGAACGCACATTCGAGAACATTCGGTTAAGTTCCCGTTCTTACGGGAGCTGTTCTTCCACTGAGGTTGTGGATATTTGTCTTGATGAGACACTGTCCAAAGAGTTGGAACGGTATTTAACATCACCTGAATATTGGCACAGTGCGACCATGTTCCTTTCAAAGGCGTTCTGCATTTTACGCGCGAAAAGTTGTCCATATGTACTGCAACATGCTGTGAATCCTCACCCGTCCATCGAACAAAATAGCGAATGGCTGCGGGATACTTTTCGTTCAGCCTTTTCAAATCAAAGTAGGCCATTTGTTAGTTGATCTTGAGTACGTTTCGTCCCTGACCCTGTGAAGTTACGCTCCAGACGCCACGCACACATACACCAAATGAGATCAACAGTTGATGGGCAAAACAAACCCTTAAACTGGCGACGAATGGAAGACCGTAAACGGAAGCTAATTTACTCATGTTTGGAAAACAAAAACGTACATTTTGGAGTGGTCGTATTGTAGCACGTGCTGTGCAATTTGCTTTGCAGTAACTCCAGTCCAATGATGGCGTAAACAATGATCACGAAAATGACGAGGAGTGCGATGTGTAACAAGGGGACCATGGCAGTGATAATGGAATTCAAAACCACCTGAAGACCTGGAGGGAATCGAAAGTGGGGCGGTGAATGAAACACAGTGAGGCGAACGTTTCATAATGAGGAGATGGATCAATAAACGGAACCATGTCAAATGAAACCCTCTTTAAAACAGGATTACACTCTAACAACGCGAACCTGCTATAATCCTATTGGAGAACACTGCATATCTACCGCTCCAACCCATAGTGACTACACGTAGAAATCCCAGCCCCATTAAAACGTGCAAGAACTCAGCTCTTGAGCTATTAGTTCTGGACTTCCAAATGCACTTTAGCCCAGTCCTGATTGTTATGAAAGGGCTGTCAAGGTCTTCTGAGCATGTCAAAGCTTCTCAACTTAGCCCACGAGAAACAGGGGTTACGAAACTGCCAGTTTGGTTCAACCCAGACCACAACGACCGATAAGTTATTTGCGGATTCGAACGATCTACCTGTAGTACCACACTACAAAGCATTGTACTATCAAGTAAAAGAAAAGCGAACTTAAAAAAATCAAATTGACTTCATAGCCTAACACTAACCAGTGCATTGCAGATACACGGTGTAGCCGTATACTCTAATCGTAACTCACACTCCTTGACCTCTCATCTATGTATCCAGACAGTAGCTGGCAGCTATTCCAATGACCACCAGAAGCTGGGGACACGTTGAGTAGGGTCCACGTTTGACTGTTTCTCTTTGCACTTTCATTTTGACTTCATAAGCAGTAGCTTTCAGCCAGTCATTGGTGCAGTCCAGAGAGCCAACATGCATAACAAAGTCTTATCCATGTTAGAATCTCACTAATTTCTATGGAAATTCTGTCTCATGACCTTCCGTTTAGTTCGAAGTTGCAACCTGGTGGCTGACAGTTGAAGACAATAACATCGGGTCCCGAGCAACTGGTCAGTTGCGTGGTCAACTCTTACTTGAACAGGATATATCACTAATCATTCTTCAATCGGGAAATTCACATCACGCGGTCGTATGCTGACCGGCTCCTACAGCGACGACATCCCAGATGGAAGGCTCATCCGTCATGTGAATTGTTCTTCCTACTGGGCAGTTTGCTCAAACAGATCCGAGTAATAGTACTGAGTTGCTCTTTAGGCGTACTGGCCCACCACCTCAAAGGGGAGGGGGCGGACAATGCACAAATAAGGAATTTCAGTCTGACTGATGGCTCCAGATTGGTCACCCACTTGTGCTAAAAGTCTGATAGTAGTATGGGAAACCGTTGTAAATCGTCACTCGAGCAAATGGTCAACACGCGACAATGTAATGCGAATTCCATGACTGGACAGCCGAGTGGCCCTGTATTCTGCCTACGTGCGACTTAATCGAACTGCCGATCAGCCACTCGTGGCCGAAAGGTATGGAGTCCGACCACCAACCAAAGTTAGCATCTCCTAAAGACTCGTAAGACATACACTTCTGATAAGTACCAACCAGTAGAAAACAGCTATTCGGAGTGTATCGGCTTTCAGCATAGAGTACCAACCAGTAGAAAACAGCTATTCGGCTTTCAGCATATAGTTAGTGCACTCACTAGATGAAATCTTGAACAAAATTCAAAAATTGCCCCATTATACCATCAAACTGAAAGATCGTTGAAAAATTAACATAAAAAGCAAACGTTTACTCGTATAGACGTAATGAACTGCACTTAAGGTCACTGAAAATTCTTAACTTGAACAAAATTCAAAAATTGCCCCATTATTCCATCAAACTGAAAGATCGTTGAAAAATGAACATAAAAAGCAAACGTATACTCGTATAAACGTAATGAACTGCACATAAGGTCACTGAAAATTCTTAAATAGCCCACGAGCAGTTCCGCCCTTCCAGGGTCTCATCAGGTAGGTGCAATCCCGAGTTTCCGTCAGCCTTATGTTCTACTTGGACACACGAACTTCGATTCATACACTCATATGCACTGCATTTGGTTTTAATGGGAGACTCCCCTGGTACCCAGTTGAATCTCCCATTTATGATGTTCTTCATCATATGTATTTCATGCCTGAAATGCAAGCACTAAACCTCGAATCCTCAAAAGCAGTCTTGACAGTTTGGATGGTGTACAAAAGTGGACTGCTGACTTCACTCGTCTGTGAAAATCCCTGATTGATTCGATCACGCTCAGATCAATATCGAGAGACCGATCAATAAGGAGGCTATCCGTACGAGAAGGATTTCACGGTCACGCCTCTTAGTCGTAATTTGTCTAATAAACAGTCACAAATTCACCGGGACATTGTGTAGCTAAAATCGTTCCAGCGGAAGAGAAGACCGCGTATAAACACAAGTATACGATAAAAATCAGAGAGACAGACTTCGAATGGAAGCGATCATCAGTTAAACTATTAAAAAGTCGCTCGTACACGTATACTATTTGTCAGGTAAATTCTGTGTGCAACATACTTGGCAGCCCTGACAACAGACGCAGCGGTCGCAAGACACGGAAGGCTCGAAGTGCCTTGACATCTGCGCTGGTTCCTTCCAGTACTTTGGAGGACAGCCTGAAGAGAAAAAACGGAGGAATTTTTGAACGCGTTAGTGGCGGGGTGGACAGTAGAACTCGTTTTCCGGGAGGAATTCCAGTGACAAAACCTGATTTCCATGAGACAGTAAGGAACGAACCATCAATATCAACGGAGAAGGATAATTAAATTCACTCAAGAGTCTACTGGTCGTCTTCGAAATAGTCCACTAATCAGACGACCTCTTAGCCCTCGCGCAGAGAATAGCGGCTGAGAAAACTGCCTTCTTGCGACTGGTGATGTCACAGTGGTTCATAAATGCCCGATCAAGGAACAACCATGGATGACTGACGAGCATTCACCCAGGACAGTGATTTAACGCAAACAGTCCTGTGGACAAATGCCGCTATCCGTCCAAAAGCCGGTCTATTTCACCTACTTCAGAGTAACATGTATTGTTACCAGAGATTGCAACGATGGCAAGATGAAAACCATGAGACGCATACGTTTTGTACTGTTTTCTTGTCTGCTGAGTTATCACAGCAAAAATCATTCCATAGGTGAACGGAGAAGGAAAGTGATCTCACATTACAAAGTTTTTTGAACATTCAAAACTTTCAAGAGCGGAGCCACTCTCGCAGTAGAGATGGTCCAGCATCCGAAAAAAAAGAATAGGGATACAGATACATTGTTTTCACTTGCATTTTAGTCCAAGTGTTCAGATGTGTTTCCGGACGACGCATATGGTTTACCAGTGAGCCATGTAGGTCATTCGAAAACCAATCTGGGTAGAGACTGCTCAAACAGTGCTGACGTTCACTCGTCACGATGTCCTTGTCGTTTTTCATCGCTTGATTTTTCTGCAAACGATTTTTCCTCGATTCGTTCCACCCCGTAACTCTATCAAATTTCCTTTCGCCACATGATTGTTCAACTGCATCACCCTTTCTGTGCCTAGCTGCGGTTCCACCAGAAGGAACGGCTGAGGGTCTGCTAAGCTGCTTAAGCCCAAATAGGAGCAATCAATTTTCTGGGGTTTGGTTCGAACCATGGATCTTACGCCCTAACCAATGAGGCATCCCAAATCACCGACCGTATGCACCAGTGCGATCCATATCTGTGTGCTGGCAACCACATTTATTTCTTCTCTTAAACGCAAGTTGTTTTAATCGTGTCAGCTCTGATGTGATTTCAACCAGCGGTCCGCACGAAACAACGACAAGCACAATTCAGCAAAGTTAGACTGATAACAACGGGAGATATAACACAAATGCAAATGTGGTAATAGCCGCCTAGGAAGACTGGTCAAAGGGGACATTCAAAACAACCCTGCTGTGGTTAACGTCAATTCAATTCCCACCTTCCAGAAATGAGCAGACTACAAAAAGAACTCTCCTGATGAAACATTTAAAAACCTACTTGTAGAAGAATCTCGCGTTATGCAGAGAAATGTGTCCTAGCACAAACGTAGCATTTTGCGTATAAGAGACTGTGTACTGCCACTGGGGATCTGTTGTAACACCATCGTTGCCTATCGCTTCCGTTTTTGAATAAATGGTTAAGAACTCAACGGGAAGGCCTGCTGAGCTGAGTGCATACTGGAACAACCGAAAATATGGAGGAGGATTGTGGGCTGATTTGTTTTTTGTAATGCACTACTCATAAAGTTGTTGAAAACTCTTTAACAGCTCACGTCCAGTTTCGCCCTTCTTGGGGCTCATCAGGTAAGTGCAATCCCCGAGTTTCCGTCAACCTTATGTTCTAACTGAACCCAAATTGCACGGAATCAGCAAAATACACTCACTTGCAAACTAATTTGGTTTTTCGAGAGACTCACCTGGAAACCAGCCGAATCTTTCAATTTTTATGTTTCCAGGCAACTGAATGTGCTGCACCAAGCCGCCGCATGTTTCAGTCGCTACGGTGTTCGATATATCGCGATACATGTATACTCGTAATGCACTACTCATAACGTTGCTGAAAACTCCTCAACAGCTCACAAACGGTTTCGCCCCTCTTGAGGCTCATCAAGTAAGCGCAATCCCCGAGGTTTATTTTTTAGTTCTTGGGAAACGACCTAGATATCCCTAAGTTGTACATAGGACACTTCTTGCCATCTGGAAAACAGGATTTCGAGTGTGCATGCAACTGGAACAGTTGATTGAGGACAATACTTACCCGACAAGAACAATAGAAAAGTCCAGGATGTTCCAAAATGTCCGGAGGTAGGCTCCAGGGTGAAGGATGAAACCATAGGCGATAATTTTCAATGCGGATTCCGTAGTAAAAATAATTACAAAGGCGAGTTCAACTTTTTCCTGTTATGAGAGGGAGGGTAGGCAGGAAGAATGCATTGAAGTTAGAGGAGAAAGAGTGCTGAAAATATCGACCCAATAGGCAACAGCCACATGTGGATCTCATCATCATCTCTCTCAACAAAACATGCCTGCTAACCTACTCAAACACCTGAGCACAGTCGGAAAACAGAATGAGAACAGGAACGAGGACATCGCTCCCGGCCTCAACAGTTAGTGCACTCATTGGCGCATTAAACAAACAAAAGATATCGTAGACCACCAACTGAGACGCGACCACACTGTAAGGAAGATGATTTAACTAGTTGGGATGGAAGGTTTCCTGACTAGGTGCGATCGTCTTAGGTTTGTGAGCGTAAACCAAACTCTGTGTGTCTGAATGATCTGGATGTGAATGCGCGTATTTCTTATTCTCTGGACGGCTAACATAATTTCCAACAGTGTTGATAGGCTTTATCTAAGATAATTCACAGTTGAAGACGAGATAGTACGCTTCATTCAAACCCAAACTGCATACCATGCCCGCCAGTTTTTATATGAAACCTGTATAGTTTGGACTACTATATTCTACCTCCCCCCACAAGGGTTAAAAGACAAAGCTCATTCCTTGAGCATCAAATATATACCCGATTTCTGGCGCTGCAAAAAAGTTGTCCCCCTAGCGATTTTTGGCGTGAACGCAGTAGTCGCAATATACAGGACGTTTCTTTCTCAATTACTCGAATAAGCGATAGGCTATAGAGTGCTACAAGCGACAGAAGAACCGTATATCCGTTTACAGAGGACCATATATATATACATATATATAGTACGTGAATAAGTCAAACGAGGATAAAGTCGAACGTCGACGGCATATGTACTGTTTGGTCGACGTTCCTGTTAGGTTAAATGGTTAGGCACCCATCCGGTTGGGTTCGATTCGTTTTGATAGCACTCACCATTTGACTTTCCATACAAAAGTTGCCTATCCTCCAAGTCAAAGATGGCTTATTGACTGAGCGACAAACCTGAAGCGCACAGATAGTGGTTTTTCATGCACATCACTAGGAGACATGACCAACTCCATGCTGGGAGTTTCCGTTCGCAATATAAGAATGGGAATCCTGTTTTAGAGGACCAAGCAGCCTCATTAAATTATGGGCCCAACAGCGCTGACGAATGTGCGGACAGACAAGGCTATTTTGCTTGAAACGTTTATGCAGCCTCCCAACCATGCGAGAATCCCTAACTCTTTTTTATGAAATCTTCGCTTGAAACAAAGTCCCAACTGGATTCAGGCATGGCCGCATTTGCCAGCGAGAATCATACTGACTCACTGTCACAAGCTCAAATCCAAACTTTTATGAGTCTCTTGATGATAGGTTCACTGCATTAGTATGGCAATGTATCGGAAATGGGCCGTGTTGCTTATTGGTTATTAGTCTGTTCAACGAGCAGGTATAAGGGGGACGTTTTCGATGCCCCACTAAACCGGGCACTGAAAATGTCGTTTTGAAGATACGTCTGCGATCCAGTTTCTCACCTCGGTGAAACTTACCAACAACCAAGCAGGGCTACTGTTTTGATTCCACCACATGGTTAATCTTCCAAAGTTCCCGCCAAAAATATCCTGCTTCGAAGTGATGGACGAGCAAATCATCTTCGTGACTGATGAAATGGAACTACTCCAGGCTCAATTCAGCCAGTATCGAAAACCCCAGATAAAGAAACAATCAGAGCCCGATTTGTCCTGAGCTACTGTCTAGTAGAGTTCTATCCTCCCGATTTCTGTTGGTTTGAGTAGACACACTAATAGGTCAGGTAGGCTTTGAAAGAACGTGCATCTTAGGAACGTCGCACTGAACTCACGACAGTGTTCTATTTACTAATCACGCGCCACCTGGATCTTGGAATTTCCCCACTGTTAAATGGCGGATACTCAATTTTCTGCATCGTTAATCCCTACAGAGTATAGAGTGGAGGGAATGTCAGTTTTCGTTTTATGCTGTTGATCCTACTGCCTGAAATGTCTCCGTCTTTATTCTAAAAACGAACATGCCAAGCCGCTAGCCTTTATAATCCTTGCCTGGGTGTCGGTTACTTCATTTTGTTTGTAGTAAAGTAAACCTTTCGTCGAGAAAGCCACCGGTTACACCATTAAGTCGAGGATTCTGTCCGCAAAGAACCGAACTATCCAAAATTGAACAGGTTCAATTGAAGATCCCTAGTAGTTTGTTCATCTCCCAAGAAAAAAAATTACCGCTGTGAAAATGCCTACATAAAATAGTGTTGGTAGGTGAGATTGTACAAACGACGCAGTGCCACAACACCACGCTTTGACGACGAAATGTTTGCATCGAAATTGCCAAACTCGGTGAACCAGCTGACCATCGGGAACGCCATATGAAGTCGACTCGGTCGTATGGTTCAGGTTGATTTGCCATCAAAGGGCTCGTTATGACTGAACTCAATTTGTCTTCTTTAGTAATTGCTGGCGAGATAGCTCAGGGGTTAAAGCGCGAATTTATTGACCGGAAAATCCGTGGTTCGAACCCGACCGCTGTATCCTCGACTTTTCCTGCCTAAGCTTGGACAACCTGGCAGTACCCCAGCCCTCATGCTTCCTTCAGGTAGCATGGCAGCTGGGTTGTTACAGCTGATTGATTATCCCATTATTATATTATTTATTTTCAGTGATTTCATGCATGACACTCAACGGTTTCAATGAAAATTGGAGGTAATCAATCAAGTTAGTATGGTACAGAGATGCATGATAGCCTGATTATTATCCGTTTCCCAACACGGTGACCTCCCCTAAAGAAAGTCATGACAAAACAGGGTATTCAGGCGATCTACCCATGGATAAAGAGTAACTTTCGTGTAGATACTTCAGGTGATTGGCATTTCTGTGGAGGATTCACTCTTACAAAACTTACCACAGTAGCCGTTAGTTCCGCTGAAATATCATCCTGGTGATACGTGACCTTATCTGTGGTCATCATATAAACTTATCTTTGAAAATTTGGTCTTTTGTAAAGCCACAGACAGAGGATGACAAGTATTTGAAAAGTTTGCTACGTTTTGGTTAAACATTCTAGTCACCTAGAGATATCTGGCGCCCTCAGTCTGGACGACGCTGGAATGAGTCCAAAGCTCCAGTAATTCACTGAAAAAAGTGTGTGATACAACATATATACTCACTTACATACCAATTTGGTTTTCACAAGAGACTCATCTGGATCCCAGCTGAACCCATCGTTTTTTATGATATTTTTCTTCAACTCATTGTGCTACAACCCGGCCGCCTCAAGTTTCAGTTGGTATGATATTTGAGATGTCACAATACACCGTATAGACGTAACACACTACACATAAGGATGTTGGAAACTCGGCTAATGCACTTACCTGATGAGCCCCAAGAAGAACGAAACCAGTAGTGGGCTGTGAAAAAGTCTTCAGCGACCTTATGAGTAGTGTGTCATCTCTATACAGTGTGTGATACAGCTTCTGTTATAGACAAGAAACCAAATGGATCGACAAAATGTTCTGGAATCCGCTGAAGATCCTTCCACGACAGGCAAGTTATGCTGTATTTTCTACTGAATTTCTAACACCTAAACATCCGGAAAAAAAGCACAATTCTAAAGGCAAGTGATTTGTGTGTGATTAATTTCCCCACTGAACCAATGATGAGAACGGGCATCAATCTAGTATTTTGCCAAGTTTACGCCAAACAATGCTTCGTTTTTCAGCCCAGACCATTAAACGAACCCCGTTCGTTCCACAGTTGTCAATTTCACCACATTTGGCATAGCGGTGCTTCCAACTGGAGTGAGTCCAAGGTGGGCGAAGAACACACACAGATAACTTATATAATTCTACCGTTCCTCCAACTTCTGTGCAGCTATTCCTCACTGGGACGCGACTTTTAGTCAATCGATAAACATGTGTGGCTGATTTACACTGATATCTGCGATCACCTTATGGAATCCGTCGAAACGTCATAGATAAGGCAATGTGTCGCAACAGTCCCCTTGGTGGAGATGCACCATGAAACACCCGACCTATTGTTTACCGCCCAGCCGATCGATTGCGCTGTTGGTGTGAGGGAAACAAACGGGTCAAACATACACAACTAAATAGGTTGTCCCAATTTCATACCATTTGCCTGCGCTAGCGTATTAACCGTAACCGCGGGTTTGTTTTACAGACTTGCCGAAGCAGCGACGTATATCAGCGGGAAGCGAAAACATACATACAGTTTGTCATATGGCATAATGTTCCGCTGACAGTTGAACAATAGGTCGTCAGTGGAAGGAGTTTACGTGAAGATATGTGTATGAATTGGACAAATAAAGAATGCTGGGACTAGGGCGTAGGACCGAGTAAGATGTTGCACACCTACGTAGATGGCCGTTTCGACTGTGTGTAGTACTGTCTCTTTCATCCTGCCCAGGACGGCAGCATCAACATCTAGATAAGGAAGATGTCTATCATCAAAGAAGGAAGGTATCTCATGGATGCTCTCGATGTAAAACTGGCGGTGGTCACACGTAGGATAGAGAGTAATTTGTTCGGAGGAGACCAACGAGTGTTGGACAAAAAACAAAGTAGTGAATCAATTTCTTCGTTCGACATTGGCAAGTTTGGATAACAGAGACAATGGAGTTATCCCAGGCATCGAATATCACTCATCTAAGTATCACATTGACAGTTCAGCACAAGGTGAACCACATGGTTGTCTTTCTGACTCGCTGAAACGATGGAAGATTTAGCGAGTCATTTCGCTGACATCGCATTTGGGCTGGTCACTAACCCCATTTCTCCAGTTTTGTTTCGACGTCTTACAAAAAGGGTTTAGTTAGATCCCTTCATGAAAGAACGAAAAAAATCGGCGTGGAACATATCGTAGACGTCGAGCTTGGATATCAGGAAGAGACATCTCACTCAAAGGCATACATACCAAAACTAACAAAAAAACAGGGAATGCATGTATTGTTTTAGCTCTAAGAATAGAAGTTTCACTAAATTTGATATTCCGGGGAAGCGACCTCCGTAAGCTTGTGGAGTAGTGTTTATCTAACTTCGGTCATTCAATGTGTCTACTACGCCGTCAAACATTCAATAATCTACCTCTGCAGTCGAACTCCCACTTCCTCGGTACGCCATGTTCGTTTGCCGTTTTGCGTGTGAAAACTGGGTCACCGTCCTAAAGAAAACTGACAGGGAACACAAGCAGGACACATTCCGATTTGGATGGGGCAGCATGTTGAACGCTCCACTCCACCACGCTCATATAATACATCAAACCAGGAGGCAAGTGCACGCTTAATACCGGCTTCATCGATAGCCCATCATCTACTTGAAACTGGGCATTTTCCCGATTCGAAAGCTGAGTTCAATATCGTGTACAGGACCAGGAATGGTAAAGTGTTGTAGTTTGTTGAATCCATTGCTTCCAGAACTTCGAACTCAGAAGTGTGTGAACATCTGTCATAACGCTGAATTGACCTTCGTGGATGACACCATTCCCAATTCCAATGGCTCATTTTCTGTTTTATTCACTTATCTGATATTGTTCTGCAGTGTACGTATGAAGGTATACAGCGAAACACCCGGTGTACCATACAAAAGCTGATTTCTCTGTTATCCGAAAACCAGACACTTGAGAAACTTAGGCTCACTGGATTTCATTCACGCTGGAGGTGAAGGCATGCAGTCGAACTGCAGTCATTGCAACCATTGATTTGTGCCCGTGGAAACTTCACGAACTGGCTACGGGAATGACTTCGGTCAGATGTCGAATCGATACACAGCAATGCTAGACTGCAGTGTTTACTAAGGGGTTTAGGACACCTTATAAGGACACTGTTTCAAGGCACATGTGGCAGGATACCAGCTGATGCGGAGACGTTTGTAAAGATGCCATAAAAATTAGAAAGTAGCTCAATCATCCATTAGGACCTGTACTCCGTTTGACAACTTCACGGTAGCGTACTTTAGACGTTGTAACACGACTAATTTCTGAGCTTTCCTGAAATAATTGGACAGCTGGAGGCACGTAGCGAAAACTTCGAACCCAGTTCGAACCGATTCTAAACAAAGCGTCTTCTTTATACCCAAGAAAAAGAATGCACTCTGCTGGCATTCAAGGCGGGCGACAGTCAAAATAAGGTAAACCAACACTTGAAAAACGTCGTCAAAAAATACGCTATCTGCCGCTGACCCCAAAAAAAGCACACACAAACTAATACCACCTACAAAGGACAGATTGCAGATCCTTACCACATCTAACTACGTCTATAAGTACGGTTGTACTCATACGGGTACAACAGAATAACAGTCGTTGGTGAAACGCACTCAGTTGCAAATTAAGTCATCGTTAACAGCAGAACCCCCGGTTATGATATTCTACGCAGTATAAATGAGGGAATCAGCTGAGTCAAGTAGAGATGAGTGTATTTCGCTATCTGCCTACCACTTAGTGTTAAAGAAGGATTTAGAGGCGATGAAAACTTGGGGACTAGGCCCGGTCGATGAGCAACATCGGTCGTGTGCTGCCAAAGAGTTCTTACTGATTGCATGAGTAGTGTGTTATGTCAAGGGGTCAGCAGTTGTTGTTTCCGTTCAAACCTTCTAGTAATAATGATTTCCAAGCTTTTCAATGTTTGACTGAAGCTTTTTGACCGTTTTTAAAGGAAACTAGGCTACCGAAAAGCCTTCGACAGCCTTTACAGGTTTTGCCCCTCTTGGGACTCATCGGGTTGGCCCAAGCCCCTGGTTTCCGTCACCCTTATGTTCTATTCGAACACAAAACTGTAGGCAATGGGCGGACAACGCTCATCTGTAAATTACCTTAGCGTCAATGAATCTTTCCTTTATGCTATTAAGCAACCCTATGGGGAGTAGGTTGGTCGCCAACTGAACTATGAAGCTGCCCTTGTGCAGCACACTCAGTTGAAGGATATCATTAAATAGAAATCCCACCAAGTCTATCGATGACACGACTGTACTTTGCGAATTAGTGTATTTCGCCAACTCATGTAGCCTCTTAAAGTACCAACCCTGAACGCGTGTGTTTTGTAATTTGCTGATCCACACTAAATATAGTAAATGAAATGTCGACAAACTGGATCACCAGGAGATTGGTTGTTTGTTCCTCATGTTGATTTATCAACGAGAATTGATGTTTCACAGTCGTTTGTATATTGGACTCTACACTGAAACAGACCAACACTTGGAGTACACAAAATCCTTCGTTTTAGAGCCAACATTGGGTATGGAGGAAAACCAACATGAACTGAATTCCCCTGAGCTAACATCGAATGAAAACGACCTAACGTTCCGAAAAATACTCTCATTTGCTCACAAAGTTGGTTTTGACAAGTGGCTCATTTGAATCTAGCTGAATCTCTTTTTTACGAAGGACCGCTTGAACTGAGTGCGCCACCCCAGGCCGCCTCATGTCACGGAGTTTTCAGTAACTCCATACGTAGTGTGTTACCACTAGATTTGTCATTCATTTAGAATCGTATCAACGAGAAATAAGCATCTGAAATGGACTCACCAAAACTTGGTTTACTGCGTTGGAATCGTCATTCGGATAGGGATGGTTAAATGCCAGGGCAAGACAATTACAAAGGATAGCTACCAGAATAAAATAGTCAAAGGGCCTGGAAAGACAACAAACAGTTGGGTTAAGGAGTAGCAGTGAAGTGGAAGCGGCACGCATGCATTGCCGGTGGGCTACCGCATGCTTTACACCCACTCACCCACTTACACACACATCGAAGAGAATGAGCGAGTCAAAAGGACGCCCAGCATGCTCACAGGAACATATAAGAGGCTGTTACGAATATGAATGATAGGATCTACTCACAAAGATTCTGGGTAGCTGATTAGTTGTCAGACCATCACTTAGATAAACCATTCCGGTGACCGTAAGCCTTGAATTGGGCACTAGAAACTTGCACTAGAGGTCGCAACGGAAAGAGTAATGAGGTTTATGTTAGTGATGCCGGCTTTTCCTCAGATACAGCCTAATTGCACACTAAGCAGTGGACGGCTGATCAGCAGCGTGACTAACTTGCGCATTTGAACAAGGTAAAGCCTTATCAGCGAACTACCCTCATTTACAAACTTATTTGGTTTTTCGAGAGACTCACTTGGAACCCAGCTCGTTTGTGATGTTTCCAGGCAACTGAAAACGTAACAGTCTCCTTGTCAAAATTCCAACCGACCGCTAACTAACGCGACCTCCTACAAGTCAACCAATCATGGGAAATACACTCATTTACAAACTTATTTGGTTTTTCGAGAGACTCACTTGGAACCCAGCTCGTTTGTGATGTTTCCAGGCAACTGAATGTGTTGCACCAGGCCGCCGCATGTTTGAGTCGCTACGATGTTCGAGATGTTCAGCCGGGCACAACCGGCTGTCCGCTGTCAAAGAATTTTCAGCAACTTTGTGAGTAGTGCATTACGAGTATACATGTATCGCGATACCTCGAACATAGTAGCGAAAGAAGCATGCGGCGGCCTGGTGCAGCACATTCAGTTGCCTGGAAACATCACAAACGAGCTGGGTTCCAAGTGAGTCTCTCGAAAAACCAAATAAGTTTGCAAATGAGAGTATTTCGCTAATTTCGTGCAATCCGGTTTCATGTAGTACATAAAGTTGACGGAAACTCGGGGACTGCGCCCACCTGATGAGCCCCAAAAAGGGTGAAACCGGTTGTGGGCTGTCGATGTAAAGCCCTACCGTCCAAACAGGCTTGCTTACATCACTTGTTTTGATTCCTCGGGTGGAAGCTTCTCAGAGAAAGGCGCACTTGACCACGCAGGATGTTTTAATTTGTACGTAATTTAACTTCATTTGGTACACAATGAATTTACTAATTGTCACTGGTCAGCTAATAGAACAGATTGGTATTCCTCAGAATAATTCAAGATCCAACGGACAAAACAGCCAGAAAAGCAAGTCACAAACTGGTGAAAAAACGGATTCTGGTAATTTTTTGAAATACTGGTAGCTCGGATGAGTGCACACTTGGGTGCGCACTGAGGATGTTTCCCCGTATGGTGACGAAACGTTTGCACTTCAATTGCAAAGCTCGGCGAACAGATAAACAACCGCCTGATCAACATCCAACGAACTCTGGCAGCTTGGAAACATCACCTTTCAACATCAAACAGCCACCCCTTAAGGCGGGCGGGAATTCGATGTCAAATGTCCTAACATAGAATGAAGACTTACGTGGTGGCTGACCTACCTACAGTAGCTTATCACCAGCCAAGGATGAGAAAATGTTAAGGGAAAGGTAGTGGAACGAAGTCCGAAAACTAACGTGAAATGAAAGTGTTGTGCACTGCAGACAGATGCCCAGCTCATATCCGGATCAGTCGATCAGACGCTGGCATCAGAGAAAACATCGGTCCTAGAGAGCAGTATCGATTGCCCTAGTCGTTGTTGCACACAAATACAGAGCGAGCGTTTTGAATAGAACTGCCCACCTGTGGAATGTTTACCGACCTCACCAAAACCTCCGGACACAGTAGATAGCCCCATGAAGGCTTTTGCAGGCCAGGTAACTTGTCATCTACACCAAAGTATCCCATGTTGGGACGGGGATGTGGTAATTCTGTAGAACTGTACTTTCCATTTGAAGTCTTGGGAGAACTTGGCACTCAACAGAGGCCTGAGGAGGAGAGGCTAATGGGAAGCTTTGCGATGAGACAAGTATCAGCGCCACAACACAGGTGAAATCTTTGGAAGGGGTTCAGTCTCCCTGGCTCATTTTTGACCAGTTGAACTTTCATAGCATTTGGAAACACATATCAGCGGGACCAACCTTGTAGGTTACCAGCGTACTCTAAATGTAAATACCTCGAAGCTAAGGTGAGTTTTCTCCATCTTCTAATCATGATCAGTTCGACCGTCTTATCCTAAGAACGATGACATTGCTAACTATGAGGTCATTCACCAACACAATGATGGCTCGCTAATGGACAGCTCCTCAAAACATCTGCGTGGTGCTATGCTGTGTGGTATTACACTGAAATTTCAAGAAACTGGATACGGTATCTCAGTGGTAAATCAGTAACTGTTACAGCTGTCCTGTGTTATGCCAACCTTTTTAGATCGGCTGTAGACATCCTGTTGTATCGCCAATCTCATACCCAAGACAATGGTTTGCGTGTAGCGCCATCTTCGGTGAAAAGTGTCCATGGTCTTCCATCTATGCATGGATGTCTATTGGTTTAACTAATATCAACACTGATCAACGGATGGTTGCTGATGAGGAAGGGAAGATGATGATGATGATGATGATGGTAAGATGATGGACATTTAAATTCCCCGTCATTGCCAAGATTGACTGTCGATACGGATGACGAAATCAGATGTTGACTGAAGCTGAAAACATCTTCCACCTTCCCATGGAGAACTTTCACAGAATTGTAGCATACCACTTGATAACATCATCTGTTTACTTCAGGTCTATTCGTGTGAAACCAGTGCAATTCTTCTAGGAATGTAGTCTGCTCGCATCGACCGAGAGGGAATTGCTCGGGACTCGAAAACCCTAGGCTGAAGTATCGACGGCAACGAATTTTCTACCCTAATGATCAAATGTTACAGCTACAACCGACACTAGCTAGGCAACGAATTTTCTACCCTAATGATCAAAGGTTACAACTGCGAGCCTACGTCAACCGACACGAGCTGCTATTCTGTCTTGTGACACTGGCCAGGAGTGAGATACGGACAGAAACCAAAAGCTACTGAAAACAACTGGCCGGAATATGGTTACTGAATGGATAATATGATCCGGATAGCATCTTGGATGGACTCAGTGTAGTCGGTCATTTGACACCAGATTTGACTACAGTGATGACGTCCCGATGGCTGTCTTTCACGCGTGCCCTGCACGTGTACACAACGCACTCAGTCGCCAAACGCACCAGTACACATGCCGCACTAGGTAAGCGTGATGGGCACGCACATATGGGTGCGTTAAAAACAGACGGCATAGCACAGCCGCACAAGGTCTGGTAGCTTTTTCCCGTCATCCACAACAGCACAACAGCGATGATGTAAGCGCGTGCGTGCGCACGCAAGCCCGTGTACCAGAAGGTTGGTTTACCACACTGAAATACGTTGGGCGTGCGACCGCATGTTCTGATTGGCACAGACGGCCACGCGCCACGGCTGCCACACATCGATCGGTAGCCTTGGCTTCCCAGTTTAGGTCAGAGCGTGTGTAACGAATCTAGATCACCGGTTGCATTGATCGAGCGCGTGGCAATGTGGCTAGGTTGGGAAATTTTTTGGCAGGCGACATCCACAGCAAACAAAACAGTTGTGTCGAATAAATCGCTGCGTAGAGAAGTCGCCCATCGTTTACTGCATTGTTAAACACGTATACGCCCCAGCTGCAAGCAGAGCGCTAGCAAAATGTATTTTGCACAAAAGGGCAAATAGTTTGCCACTGTGGTGACCAAAATTGCGTTTTTATCAAGCTTTTCCCGAAAAAAATGCCAAGCGTCAAAAACATCGACACCCAAAGGTCAGAAACGCAGCTAGGCCACAACTATTGATGCTTTATCGTATGAAGCAAGCGTTCCATTTTTACCCTGCTAAGTCAATGACTCTCAGTGAACTGAGTTGACGAACCAACTGTCTGATGGAAGCCATTTTTATAAAAACTGAGTAAAAACGGTTGTGAAAGAATAACAATCGCGAAAAGGATACTTGGCGTCCACAATATTGATGCATATCCGTCGAATAGGATTTTTCTTGGTCATAAAAAACAGGGATCGATCAGTGCGGAACTGGGGACATATTCGCTTTTTCTGGACTTCACCACGTTCTTTTAGGGCAGCCAAAGCCAGGTCCGCAATGACTGGTCGGTTACTGGACAGGAATGCGTTCCCAGTCGTCCCCCCAACGGCAGCGCTACCCCACGGGTTCTGGGACCCTGGGGGAAGCATGGTCGTTGCTCTGATTGCCTCCCTGTTCTAGTTACGTGGTATCTAAAATTTAGGGACGAGAAAGGCAAGCAAACAGGCGATGACAAAAGCAGCGAGCGACGTATGGGTAAAAAGAGTTCAGACGCCCCTACTTATCCAGCCTATGTCGCTGAACTCGGTCCTTCTTCATTACTGTACTAACAGATTTCTCACCAACTAAGCTGCGCATATTTTACGGATGAAAGGCGCCGATCACACACACTGGCGACCAGACCAACTAAGCGATGGAATGCGAGAAGGAATGTCTGAAAAGATGCATTCGAATCCTTTATAACGCAATCAATTTTGCGGAAATTTCACCTAATTATCGGTTTCGTTTATTAGGGGTCGATTTTTGATGAACAAGGCGAGTTAGTTTTCATTAGTTTTCATTTAAAGACGCATTTCCTGACGACTGTCTGTGTATTGCACTCATTCATTTGTGGTGAAAGATCTTGAGAGTATGAATTTCCGAAGCATGGACAAACAAACCGAATGTTTTTCAACTGTTCCTGTGATAATATGTACCTGCTCGGTTCTTGAGGGTTCTCGCTGAATGGTCAGTGTCATTTTACATGAATTTCCGAAGCATGGACAAACAAACCGAATGTTTTTCAACTGTTCCTGTGATAATATGTACCTGCTCGGTTCTTGAGGGTTCTCGCTGAATGGTCAGTGTCTATTCATTTTACATGCGTTCACTTTTCGTACGGACTAGATCGATGGAAGCGTTTTATCTGTTTTTTGTCTACCTGTTTAATATAGGCGAACTGCAGATAGTTTCTACATCCGTAATGAACAGGTGAGTTTTGGTAGAAGAGAAAAGTGTGGATTAACGTCAAAAGTAAATACTCTTGGTTGTCTTCTTGAATTTCAGGTCACGTGAGAGACTACTTGTCAACTCGAACCAGTGACAACCTTCGAGAACTATTTTTGTCTAGACTTCTTTCAGATGAGGCGGTGAAAAGTCCTCTGCCATTGTACTTTCTTCAAAGTGCCTAACTAGTACAGGCCAGTAGACGAGTAATACGCTTCTTTAGATTATACGAGTGGCTCAGTTTGGTCGTATGCTTAGCAACATAAGATCAAGGGCCAAATCGGTGACTAAAAACTTTTCATTTATTCCTTCTGCACCTCACTACGCTCCGGCAAAACTTTTCGTACCATTATATTCATGTTCTTTAGATTATACGAGTGGCTCAGTTTGATCCTATGCTTAGCAACATAAGATCAAGGACCAAATCGGTGACTAAAAACTTTGCATTTATTCCTTCCGCACCTCACTACTTTCCGGCAAAACTTTTCGTACCATCATATTCATTCAGAGTGCCGAAATCGCCACACTTTTGCGTTCCCAGGCTTTCACTACCTGGTTCGCACTCAACCCACTTGAATGCAATGTTTTGTTCTCAGTGAGTGGACGAAAAGCGACGATTTGTATTTATGGCAGACCTGTCCTTTGTAGATTCAGTATTTCAAGAATATTATTGAGTGTAAAATAGTTTTTTTGGTTTTTCATCTTAGCTTCACAAACACAAGAAGAGACCAGTTCTGACCGGCACCTTCCAGAGATGACAATTCTACAAGACACCCAGACATTGGTCAGTCAGCCTAAGCTCGTAACTCGTAAGACTATTGGTGTTCGATAAGGTGATGAATGTTACTCACGAAAACTGTAAAGCACAACAAGCTGAGATTATTGCTGGATGATGAACAGAAAGGTTCCAGATGCTTCACCAAGGCAACAGAAAAGTGCAGTAACACGGGAAATAGCACCAATACAGGTCATGCTGCTTTAGCAATGCTAATTACGGAGGGTGAAGTACAAACTCAATGTCTCAAGGAATTCTGCCATTCTCAGACGGTTTGGTGGATCCGTCTTCTGAGCATTCTGATTACCATCATGGATTATAGTATCCCACCATCGACCTAACACACACAGTACCAACATGTTCCAGATTGAGGATGATTTAACCCTATTGATGTGGCTAAAGAAAAACGTCGTTTTGGCCTTTCTGAGGAATTGGTCTCTTTCCAAAGAGTTCCACTCTGGTGCCTACCTGTAGCCTCAGATTGGTGGTCATTTCTTCAAATGATATCGCATCTTGTGGTACCTGTTTTTGTTAAGAAAATTTAATACACTGCAGTCCGTCAAAGAGAGTGTCGCGTTTCCAGGGAGATACCACATTCGTCTGGTCCCAAAATGACTTGCGTTGCAGAAGGTAGAGTGTTCCAAAAGAAAAAAGAACAGAGTCTAGTTGCTCAAGAAACGGAACAGTCGTGATGGCTGCTTCGCATCTAGTTCAGCCACCCTGTAGGCATGTTGATAGGACAGCCAATGGCGAATACTCGTCACGCTTGCTTGTGTTCGTTCAACATCTGTGAGATACAAACCATTCTAAGGTGTTTAGAGTAACAGAGCCATTTGTACCCGTTTGTCCACATTAAGGTACATTGGGATCAGTGATCAGTTTCCCCACTAACCTAGAGAACTCACGCAAAAGACCAAGTGTAACCATATCTTCATTTCTCACTCCACTCCGGTAAGCGCGGAAACGATTTCCCCTCATAAAGAAAAAACAAGAGTGATCGAGTGGAAGGAATGAATGATAACCAACGGGTTCTGTGGTCATCTGACCTGAAAACAGTGGAACCCAATACTTTCGAATGAAAGTATTCAGCGATGGATTCCGCAAGTTTCTGGCACCAAGAAAAACGTAAACATTGTTCTCACAACTAATGAGTCTGAGGACACAAAAGTCTGCGAGTGGCGAAAAAACACGCCCATCACAGAGCTTGCAGTGAAATGAAAAATCAACTCTGCGTAAGGCAGCGGGTAGAATTTCAAGCACCTGGAAGATCGTGTAGATTTCAATAGGGATTATAGGGTTCTCAACAGGAACACCGTTTTTGTCAACTGTCGACAAAAATTCGGGAACTGCGCCTATCTAATGAGCCCCAACAAGGGTGAAGCCAATCGTGGACTGTCGAAGAGTTTTCAGCAATCCTAGGAGTAGTGTGTTACGCCTAGAAGACAGCGTATTGCGACATCTCGAATATCTTTTTAATTGAAACATGGGGCGGCCTGGTACAGCACATTCAGTGGACCGTCATAAACGAGAGATTCAGGTGGATTCAGTTGAGTCTCCTGTCAAAACGTAATTTTTGTGAAAATGAGAGTATTTGTCGGAAACCAAAGTCTGTTTATAGAAGACAACCATTTCGCTATTGTGTCAGTGAAGCCGTAACATAACTCTTCCAAAGCGCTGATAATGAAACGTTGTCAGGTTATCCAAACTCATAGAGTGTTCGACGCATCATCGGTCGAATCGATCGTGCCTGAGCCTAACCGCCATATCGATCCACTGTGACGCTGGAAATCCTACATAGAGCTTGGTGAGTAGGACGCGGTAGCTTGCCCTGTCAAATGTAATGACCTACGTGGGGTAACTCGGTGTTTACCATTTGTTCGCTGCCAAGACTCTTCCAGGAAGACTTTGTAAGTTCCCACCGATCTGTCTTCCAGCTTTTGGAAGACCTTTGTGTAGGGAGAAGAAGTGGGAGATGCATACAGCAACAAATTAATGATAGCATAGTAAGGTTCATTTAGAGTGACACCGACGTGGCCAACCAGGGATGATAATTCCATTTGGATGTGCGCGATAAGTGGTGTTGAAACACCACGCCTGTCCATGTAAGCCTGTGCATGCAAGCAGCGAGGTGCTGAGACTTTGGTTGGATTTTCGCCTTTCCAGTGAGGTCATTCTATGCAGAACCCCCGCGGAGCAGTATGCTTATGTTTTGCTTTCATTGGAACTCATCACGGAAGAGCCTTAAGAATGATTCAAGTCTATAACCTTCCTCCAGCTGGACACTATACGATTCGGCAATCAGTGGCCGATCACCTACTACTAACTTACAAGTTACAATCATTCGTCTTCGGTACCACGGATCAGGTCACGTGACTAAGCCTCCGAATGACGACTTTCCATTCAGATTCGTTGGATATTTGCATTCCCTGGTCGGAGTACTTACAACTGCTGTAGTTAGTATACAAACTTTAGGGTAGGAAAAAGGTAAATCGTGACGCGAAAACAAATTCACATTGTCTTTGCTGTCAGAAACCAACGCGCTGGCTCTACAGGGGGTAATGACAGGAGCTTGACGGACTCTATGAAGACAATCAGTATAGAGGTTTGATCTCTGCAGAGGGGCCATGCTGCGAAGTATTATTACGGCTTATAAAATGAAGTGATTTCATTGAAAAATGGAGGTTTATTGTCACGAACTTGAGAAAGAGCTCCACTATGAGAATCTCCGTATTGCGAATGTTCAGGATCAGTTTGTGACAAGAGCTAGCACTCCAGTGCTACGCAAGAAACCGATAAGTACGTGATGTCTACTCTCTTTCAACGCGGAAGTTTCGGCGTACGAAGATGTTATACTCCACTGATCTTTGCTTTTCTCTCCGTTCGGTGGGAAAACCGGTATTTTCTTTTGTCATGTTTGGCACATGTAGGGATGCATGAGAAACTTGTTGACATTTCCCATGCTTTCGTTCAATGCATATTGGAGGAAGTGTGGAGGCCGTGTCATTTGACAAACTCTGGTTGTTGTGGCTTACTGTGGGAGAATCAATTCAAGCATCTAACCAAAATTTTGAAGGTTAGTCACGAATAAATTTATTTTCAATAAAAGGTCCGGGTGTGTCACCGGACATTTTCAGTAAAAGCCTATCTTTCAGGTTTACTCATCCTCAGATCTCAATCCCCTGATTATTTCTATAAAACCGGTCAGCCGTGGTAACCACTACAGAAGTTTCAGCTGCATAAAAGTGATGGCAGCTGCCTCATTGCGCCTAGAGACTTTTTTCCCAGTGATCCACGTGACATTTTGTGGCATCCTAGAGGATCGACTGTCTCCTGGAGCTAGTGCGGAGTTTTTCATTTTCAGCGTATAATTTTATGTCCGGTTAAAGTCTGCCTCTCTTCAGGGACAACCTCCTTCAATGAATGTCTTCGGTCGGTCCTGCCTCATTATTGGTATGATACTCATTGATTAAGTTCCCGCGTTTTCTTAACAGGCACCGCTAAAGTTGAATCCTCACCATACCAGTTACACACGTTTATCCACTGCACTTAGACAGTGTGTGGAAATTGCAATAAGACCTCAACAACCACACTCCTCTGTACGCCAATTCGGCTTTCACTGTAGACCGACATGAATCGCCGGTGAATCTCTCATTTATGATGGTCTTCAAAGAGTTTTCAGCAATCTTTTGGGTAGCAAAACTCCCCATAACAACTTCTGCGCTGTAGCGGCCGTATTTAAGTTCGCCAAGATGTCCGTAAGCTATTGGTGACCTATTCCAATCCAGTAACGTCTCTGCTTTTCGCATCCTAATGAATAAAGCCTAAGTAGTTCCAAAACACTTCCAGCTATCGTCCAGACTAACCAAATTAGTCATAAAGTTGCTGAGAACCTTTCGACAGCCCACTCGCATTACTGAGTGTCATAGCCAAAGTAGACGTAATACAGTACCTTCTGTCGCCTTTTTTACACATACTTGAACCTTTCGTGTCTTAAAAGAAGAGTGGATTTCTACAGCGTGAGCAATTTATTTCGCCAGGAAAAGATGAGCATAGAATTACTGCCAGTTACAACTGACAAGAGATAGTAATGACACAAAACAAATAGTTTGAGGAATCAGCTTAGTTCATTTCGTGTGAAGAAATAGGTAAGGCGAGGAGGGACAGTTCCAGTTTGCCATCCAATTCCACTGTTGAACTTCATGCTGGATAA